ACAGATGAATATACACAGGCATGCCTAATTTTTTCCCCTGCTTTGTTTTACTGCACTTTACAGATACTGAATTTTTTACAAATTGAAGTTTGTGGCAACCCTGTGTCAAGCAAGGCTATCATGCCATTTTTCCAGAAGCATTTGCTCACTTCTTATCTCTGTGTCACATTTTGGTAATTCTCAAAATATTTCAAACTTTTTCATTGTTAATGTGTTTGTTAATGATGATCTGTGATCAGTGATCTTTGATGTTACTACTGTAATTCTTCTAGGGTGCTATGAACCATGCCCATATAAGACTGTGAACTTAATAAATGTTGTGTGTGTTCTGACTGCTCCACCTTCTAAGTGTTCAAGTGAAAGAATAATCACCATCTCTCACTTTAAATAAAAAAACAAACAAACCAGAAATGATTAAGCTTAGCGAGGAAGGTATGTTGAAAACAGAGATAGATCAAAAGCCTGTCCTCTTGCGCCAGTTAGCCAAACTGTGAATATAAAAAGGTCTTGAAGGAAATTAGAAGTGCCCCTTCAGTGAACACACAAATGATAAGAAAGCAAAACAGCCTCGTTGCTGATATGTAGAATGTTTTCATGTTCTGAATAGGGGGTCAGATAAGCCACAACACTCTGTTAAGCATAAACCTCATCCAGAGCAAGGCCCTGACTCTCCTAAATTCTGAAGGCTGAGAAAAACCTATCAGGAAAAAAATTTGAAGCTAGAAGAGATTGCAGGAAAAAAATTTGAAGCTAGAAGAGATTGCTTTAAGAGTTTTATGGAAGGAGCCATCTCCATAGCATCAAAGTGCAAGGTGAAGCAGCCAATGCTGATGTAGAAGCTGCAGCAAGTTCCCCAGAAGATCCAGCTAAGATAACTAATGAGGGTGGCTACACTAAATAACAGATCTTCAATGTAGACAAAACAGCCTTCTATTAGAAAAAAAAGGTGCCATCTAGGACTTTCATAGCTAGAGAGGAGAAATCAATGCCTGGCTTCAAAGCTTCAAAGGACAGGCTCACTTTCTGGTTAGGGGTTAATGCAATTGATGACTTTAAGTCAAAGCTCTGCTCATTTCTCATTCTGAAAATCGTAGGGCTCTTAAGAATGATGCTAAATCTACTTTGCTTGTGCTCTATAAATGAAACAACACCTGTATGATAGCACATCTGTTTACAACATGGTTCACTGAATATTTTTAGCCCACTGTTATGACCTATTGCTAAGAGAAAAAGATTCCTTACAAAATATTATTGCTCATTGACAAGCATCTGGTCACCCAAGAGCTCCGATGGAGATGTACAATGAGATTAATCTTGTTTTCATGCCAGCTAATATAACATCCACTCTGCTGCTTATGGATCAAAGAGTAATTTTGACTTTCAAATCTTATTATTAAAAAAATACATTTCATAAAGTTATAGCTGCCATAGATAATGATTTCTCTGATGGATTTGGGCAAAGTTAGTTGAAAACCTCTGGAAAGTTTTCACTATTCTAGATGCCCTTAAGAAAGTGTGTGATTCGTGGGAAAAGGTCAAAATATCAACATCAATAGGAATTTGGAAGAAGTTGATTCCAATCCTCATGGATGACTTTGAGGGGTTCAGGACTTCAGTGGAGGAAGTCACTGCAAATGTGGCGGAAACTGCAAGAGAACTAGAATTAGAAGTGGAGCCTGAAGATGTCTTTGAATTGCGGCAACATCATGATAAAACTGGAATGAATGAGGAGTTGCTTCTTATGGATGAGCAAAGAAAGTGGTTTCTTGAGATGGAATCTACTCCTGGTGAAGATGTTGTGAAGATTTTTAAAATGACAATAAAGATTTAGAATATCATACAAATTTAGTTGAAGGGAGCAGCAGGGTTTGAGAGGATTGACTCAATTTTGAAAGAAGTTCTACTGTGGGTAAAATGCTCTCGAACAGCATCACATGCTACAGAGAAATCATTTGTGAAAGAAAGAGTCAATCAACATGGCAAACTTCATCATCGTTTTAAGAAATTGCCACAGCCATCCCAACCTTCCATAACAAGGTGTCAGCAGCCATCAATACTGAGGTAAGTCCCTCCACCAGCAAAAAGATTATGACTCACTGAAAGCTCAGATGGCCATTGGCACTTTTTAGAAATATTTTTAAATTAAGATCTACATTGTTTTTTAGACACAATGCTATTGCACACTTAATGGACTACAGTATAGTATAAACATAGCTTTTATATGCACTGGGAAATTAAAAAATTCATTTGACTTGCTTTATTATGATATTTGCTTTATTGCAATGGTCTGGAAATGAAACCACAATATCTCTGAGGTATGCCCATACCTACTTTTGCAAGGGCAGGGATAGAAAAACACATAAGAATGTATTTAAAGATAGCACCTAAGTATGCACCATAGCAGAAAATGATAGCAGCATAGACAAAATGACATTGCCAGAGCAAGGTATCTTCTTTGTGGAATATGTCTGTTAGAATACTTTGAGCTGCAAGTAGCTGAATACCCAAGTCAATGTGGCCTACATAATACATTTATTATCTCTCTTGTAGGCAGGTGTACAGTGACCAGCCAATGGCAAAGAGACTTAGCCACTATCTGTCCATCCGTTCAGCCAAGCTGATAGGTCTCTGCTCTCAGGCTTACCCCTCTTCTTTGCACAATAACAGCTATATCTTTAAATTTCACAAACTTATCAGCACCTGCAGGGACATTTTCTTGCTTTGTATCTCTTTTTATCACAAAAGAAAACCTTGCCGACCCTTCTCCTCATACCTAAGATTTCTTCCATCCTTTCTGTAGCCAGGGTTGCATGTCATGTCCATGTGAAATCAATCACTGCCCAGGGATAAATTGTGATGATTGGCTTTAGTTAATCAACATTCATCTCAAGGATGCTAGCTGGACAGCATGTGAGAGGGTGACCACCCTCAGTAAACTGCAGGATTGGGAGAAAAGGGTAGAAGGCTGGTTGTTGGTTAAGCAATCAACAGTGTCTGCCACAAGAAAGTAGTAATGCTAACATTATAAGTAACATCCTTACCCACAAACCAAAGTGCCATTTTTATATGAATTCAGCATGGAGAAGATGTTTGCTCTGTCTACATACAGATTTCTCAACCACAAATAAAAATGTGTAGAGTATCATCTTTAAGTATTCAAGAATATTGTCACTTCTCTTCGGAACATATATTCTGGCATATATATTATGCCAGGCATATATATTAGGCATAATATATAAGGCATATATACTAAATCAGATATGATAAGCTGTATTATCAAAATGTTAATATTTAATATAATGAATGTTTGAATCATTCTTTTACATAAAAATATGACCTGAAGTACCAAATGGGAGGCCAATTTAAATGCTGAGCCAAGGGATAAAAACTTTTTTTTTCTTGTCCGGAGAGTTTGGAAATAAAACGTTAAAGCCAAATCTTATTTTCTTTAATGTAAACCTTTAGGTGTCTGATTTGTATATTGTGTAGGAAGGCTTATGATGGAAACATTCAAGAGTCAATGCATTTCACTTCGGTTCCTTATCATCTTACTTATCATCTTACTTACATCTTACCTTCTTCCCAATTTAAATTCACTTTGAAAATGTTTCAAGTGATGCTATTACTTTTAAGATTTTTTTATTTGATACTCAGCATACTTTTCAATACTACATTAAAATTGTAGTTTCCAGGAGGGAAAGCCAGTTTTCTGAACCCTGTGCAGAAGAGTTATAAATAACTGTTTGAAAAGTACAAAGCAACAGTCTTTTTGTGCTTAAACTGCTATGAAGTTGCAAAATTACACCTTCTGTGAAAGTCGTATGTGCACCAAAATTTTTCACCTTCTGTGCCCTTCAGATAGGTGATGCTTTCCTTTTCTTTATTGTGAGAGGAAGCAAGGTCTCAAGTGCACTTGAGGCTTAAATGTCAGTTTTTAGGTTTGATAAAGTGTAACTTCATTGTGGAAAGAGACAGGTAGCAGCTTGGGATGATTTGGGAGTTACTATCAAAATGTTTTACTTCATTTGATCATATGCTATACACTGTAGCATTTAGAAACAAAGAATTAAAATCATGGCTCACTACAGAAGGGAAGCAAAGGTAAATGAATTAAATTAATTAATTAAAAAAAAACCTATCTGTAGAAGCAGCACCACATTCAGTGGGGTGAGCCTTCCTGAATTTAAACATAGTTATTTTCTTACTCCAGATTATAACATGGACTACAAGGAAAATGGTACTCATTTCACTATCAATTCTAGGGCTGGGTTTTGAATTCCTGTTAATATAGCACTGATGAATTAATTTAAGGCGCCCTTTATATATCAACTCCAAAAGTATATACATCATCATAAAAGAAAAAAAAAGTGCTCTCGTCCCCTTGGGAAGCGAATGCCACATATTTTACAGATGAAGTGAGACTCAACTGTCAGACAATCCCAAGTGACAGATCATTACATCATTCTATGAAACCCCTTGTCCATCTGGTCATAAAGTTTTAAGGGAGCCAAAAAGAACAACTTCTCAATTCTAGACACTGGGTCCTGGAAACAGAAGTGATCTCCTGGAGAAAATAAAAGAAAAAGCCTTTCCTTCCCCATCCCGTCCCCCAGTACCTCTTCTGCATCTCCAAGATCTGGTGTGTTAACCCATCCCTACTCCCTCTGCATGCTCTCTGGGGCTCCTCCTTTTCTGTAAGGGTTGTTAAAGTCATTGTAGCATCTCGTCAGGAAGCAACTAGGAGGAAGACCTCTGGAAGCAGAGGAGCTGTGAGGGGCGGGAGGAGTTGGGGCCCTCCTTACACACGCCTCCCCCAGGGTCCTGACCGGCACGCCAGGCCTCTGAAGCCCAAATCACGCCCACAAAGGCCAAGCGTCCAGGCTTCGCGGGGCCGGGGGAGAAGCACAGCGGCTGCTCCCTGCTCCGCAGCAGGCAGCGGGCCAGGCTGGGTAGAGGTGGGGGTGGGCGAGGAGGGGCGCTCACGTCACGTGCGCGCGCAGGGACCGCAATAAATGCCCGGGAGCTCGCGGGAGCGGCGGAAGCGCTCGGCGCCTGCTCTGCGCACCGCGGCTGCACCGAGCGGGAGCGCGAGGTCGCCGCCGGCCTTCGCTTCCCAGCCCCGCTCCTGTCCCCGCCCCTTGCTCCTGCGGAGAGCGCTTGCAGGAGCTCGGGCGCCCACCCTGGCTAGCTAGCCGGGCCGCTCCCTTTCAGCCCGAATTTCAGGCTCTGACTTCGGAGCGCTTCGCCTGCTGCAGGACCTAACGGAGCCGCGAAGGCCCAGGCTCGCGTCCACCCTCAGTCAGCGCCCTCGTCGCCCCAGGACGCGCCGTGTCCCGGTCCTTCCCGACCCGACTGTGTGTGTGCGTTCGCGTGCGCAGGCTGGGGCGGCTGCGGGAGGCCGGCCGTGGTGTTCTGCTCCGCTCTCCTAGGGAACTTCACGCTGGAGAGGTAAGGGCATTTCTAAAACTCATCGCCGAGTCGTCAGGCTCCCACCTTTTCCCATCTACTTTTTTTTTTTTTTCCCCCCAAAACCCCACTTAAAAAAAAAAAAAAGCCAACTTGTAGAGAATGGGCGGACACGGAGGGTGAGTGGGCTGCTTGGAAAGCTGCAGCGATGGAGATCTGCGGATGCTTGTGCTTTCAAGTGACTGTGGGTTTCACCTCCTCCTCCTCCTCCTCCTGTCGCGCGCTTTCCGTTTGGGTTATGAAGAGTGTGCGCCTGCGGCGTGTGGGAGGAAAAGCTGAAGTTAGTGGTGAACTGTTAGCTCTATCGGGTGCGGGCCACAGGCTGGGCTCACACTTCCCAGGAAATAATGATTGAATTCTTCTTGCCCTGCGCCTGGTTAAGAGGAGACTTCCTCCCAGACCATTCTTTGGCATTAGTTCCGTGGGCCCTCTAGATGTACCCGTGGATACATGAATGAATGACATTTTGTACTTTAAAACATGCACCTCAATTTCAGCATGTTGTGGACATTCTGAGTGTCTGCGAACTGGATATAGGACACTGGTATAAAATAATACCTTAATACAGAGAAACATGGACCTCTAGACTGATAGAAAACCCTGTAGGTAGATAATACCCTTTGCAGGCTGTATGTAATATATAGCCATCTAAAGCCTTTCAATTCAGAAGTTGATTTCAGACTTGGACTCTTCGGGGCTACTTTTGCCATTTATTTTGGCCTCATGCATGTTATCTTGGTACATATAGTTGCTTATTTTGTGAAAATAACGCAATGTGAAAAGTCCTCTGGAGGAAAAAATGGATCGGAGATAGGTATTTCAAAAAGTGCATGTCCATTTGTTGGCATTATAGAAACAAATCAAACTGTCACACTTCCTTTGTAACTGTTATTTTACTTTTGTTATTAGAAAATTAGTATCTGCCTCGATTTTCACCTTAATCACACTGCATGTCGTGATAGCCAAAAGGAGTGGAAGAGCCTGTCTTGGAGATTTTCCTGGGGAAATCCTGAGATCATTCATTATGAAGTGTACCGCGCAGGAGTGGCTCAGAGTAACCACAGTGCTATTCATGGCTAGAGCAATTCCAGCCATGGTAGTTCCTAATGCTACTTTATTGGAGAAGCTTTTGGAAAAGTACATGGATGAGGATGGTGAGTGGTGGATGGCCAAGCAAAGAGGGAAAAGGGCCATCACAGACAATGACATGCAGAGTATCTTGGACCTTCATAACAAATTACGAAGTCAGGTGTATCCAACAGCATCTAATATGCAGTATATGGTAAGGAAATTTTCAAATGGTATGTACAAAAAATGTTTATTAATGCTTTCAGTCTTCCTGGTTAAATTCCCTCATGCTATTATTTAATCTTTACCATTTGTCCTGTATGAAATTTAAAAAAAAAAAAAAGAGATTTCCTTGGGGAGTATCTTCCTCTGCATATTTTTTTTATCAGTGTTCCCTTTATTCTAAGAGCTCTTTGAATTTCAGAGTAGAATTAAATATCTTCAGATGCAATGTTCCTACTAAAAGTCCTAAATTCTACTCTTACCAGGAAGATTCCTATACTGAAAATGCTGAACAGCTGACACATTTGCTTTTAAGTGACTTAGTAGAACAATTGCTTCCTAATTCCTAACTGATGGAACTTATGAATGGTGGATCTGAAAAAATCAGGGACCAATAATTTAAAGCAGTTTTCTGGATTGTTGATAACTTTCCAATGGGTCCTTGCTTCTTACCAATATGTAAATGACCCACTGTAAAGGGTATGTTTCTGTGGTTGCTTTATGTTAAGAAGTGCTTTGGCAATGACTTTTTTTTCTTGTGGGTTTATTTGTGCACTTTGACATGTGAAAACAAGCCTGGACAAAGATTAAAATAAATATGTGACTTATCCATAATAACCTCATATTTATTTTTAGAATAAAGTAACAAGTTTGGGAAACAGACTTACATTATTATTATTATTTTTATTTATTATTATTTTTAGAGAGGTAGGGAGAGGGAGCAAGAGAATCTTAAGCAGGCTCCCTGCCCAAAGTGGAGTCGGACGCGGGGCTTGATCTCATGACCCTGAGATTATGACCTTAGCCGAAATCAAGAGTCGGACACTTAATCAACTGAGCCACCCAGGCATCCCACAAACTTATTCTTTAAAGGCTATTAGGGTATTACTCATTAATGTATTACTCTATACCTTAAATATGGAGAAAAATTTTCAAATATCTATTACACTAAAATTAGGAATGTACTAGCAAAAACTGCTAAGTAATCATTGGTGATAGCAACGTTTATACAGTGAACCTTGGGAATCGCATTTCTCCTTTGGATACGTTGTAGGGTATTAATTTTAATGCATTCTGGTTTTCTTCTTTCTGTATTCACGTTAGTGCCGATGGATATTCTCTAGGCAGCTTTTATGATATATGGAAGTTCTAAGTTCACATTACCCATTACAAAGTATAGCTTATTATTTTAGCTTTCACTAGAAAAAAAAATTTACCCTGAAGAAAGTAGGTAGCTTTCAAGAGAACTCATCAGAGGTTAAGAATCAGGGCCTGGCAATCAGGCAGTCTGGGTTTAAATTCTGGCACTGATACCCATTAGCTGTGTGACTTAGGGCAACTTAATTTCTCTCTGTTTCCGTTCCCTCATGTCTAGCATGTGTACTCACCTCAGAGGGTTGTTGTGGGAATTGATTGAGATGACCTATGTAAAGTTTAGCTCATTATCAGGCATATTGTAAGGTCTTAGTAAATGTGACTATGACCGATAGTTAATTTTACGTCTTCCCATAGTGTTTAAATAAAATACCTAAGGAAATTGTTAGCTCTTTTAAAAATTCTTTGCAGGCTATGACATCTGTAATGTCTCACATTTCGTTTTTTTTTTTTTTTTGTATTTTAAAACATTTGTCCAAAGTAAAAAATTCTATGACTTCTTCATTTGTGAGCTTTCAAACAGCAAGAGCCAATTATGGAGCCTTTCCAAGTAGGCCACCTTATGCTTATTCCATGTGGATAGGTATTCCATTGCTTTATTTAAAATAAGGAAGAACTTGGGAGTTTGAACCCACAAAAAGAAACCTGAGAATATTTGTGTGTTTTTTAAGTAATATGGAAATAATGAAAGAACAGTTCTGTAATTCGTTTTCATGTCTTACTTCCAAAGAAAATAACTGCCTATTGTATGATGTCTAGTCTGGGGTGTTTATAGGAGTTTCTTTTTAGTTTCACTGGTTTCATTCTATCCTTGAAATGTAGATTTAGAAACCAGCCAGGGTTTATGTTGTGTTGCCCTTAGATACTATTAGCACTGGAACTGTGTCTTGGCCATTAGCTGGACTGCAAAGGACTTCATTGCCCAACTGTACTGGAACACGTTTTCTAGAATACACATTTAAGGGGAAGGTCTAAAAGAACAATACTATATTATGTGAAATATTGTTGACTTATGTATTACATGGCAGTAGAAGTATGGATGTTGATAAACCTTGTGAAAATGTTACTTATTCAAATAGTTATTTAAAAGTGTATTTATTCTGGGGCGCCTGGGTGGCTCAGATGGTTAAGCGTCTGCCTTCGGCTCAGGTCCTGATCCCAGGGTCCTGGGATCGAGCCCCGCATCGGGCTCCAGCCCCGCATCGGGCTCCCTGCTCAGCGGGGAGCTTGCTTCTCCCCCTGCTCATGTTCTCTCTCTCTCTCTGTATCTCTGTGTCTCGAATGAGTAAATAAAAAAAAAAAATCTTTAAAAAAATAAAAGTGTATTTATTCTGAGACAGCAAAATTAAAATTTGGCTTAAAGAGCTATTTCCTGTAAAATCTGCAATACCCTAGCAGTGCCACCACTTTGTCTACTTGTACACTGCATGTCACTAGCCAGTTACCTTATTTACGCTTGGTGCTCATGTTAGTGTACTCTTTGTACTTGAACCAATGGCAGCCAACCACATCCACATTTATTAACATCACATCCCTACCCCTACTCTTACCATCATTTAACTAATAGGGTTAAAAATTGACTCTGGAACACCACATCTTCCCTTGAAGAGCTTATAGGTTGATTGAGAAGAAAGAATAGACACATTTGAAAATGTTCAAGTAAACAAGGGCATAAAATTCTCTGCTAAAGTGTGTGAATAATGCCAAGGGAGCACCAATAATGGAATATTCCTAATGGTGAGAGTTAATCAGTGGGGAGGATGGGGTTTATGTTATTCCTGGAAGGTGGTCAGGACCCTGAATTGTGGCAAAGAGTGGAGGGCGTATCTCAACTAGAGGAAGAGAAACAGGCAAGTGCTGCTTCCAGGGAAACTTCTAGAAGAAGAGTAGGTTGAGGAAAGCACAGACCTGGGGCAGAATCAGGAAAGGGAGAAATGAATTATTGATTATTGAAACCAGTGATGCTTGGAAAGGCTCCCTAATTGGCTTTCTTTTTGAAAGCTCATAAATGAAGAAGTCCTACAGATTTTTACTTTAGACAAGCCTTTAAAAAGAAAGATTACCCATATTTAATTTTGGGTAAGTTGAGAAACTAGAGCTCTTGGGTCACCAATGGAAACTGTTGCTGAAAGAGGCAATGGATTTTTAAAGGAAAAACTAGCTTTGGCCCTCGATAGCAGCAGGTTCACCTTTGCCTCTGCTGCTTGCTGGTATGTGAACTCTGACAGTCAGCAACCATTCTGGGCACTGCTTTTCTCAATGGTAAAATTGGTGTAAAGAATAAAACTACAAGCTGAAAGGAGATAAGACATTTGTTGCACATACTTTCTTTTTTTCAGGTCTTTCCTTTCCATGGGTTTTCTTTCACCTTATCATTTGGTTGTTTTATTTTTCTGGTTATTTCATCGACGTGTTCTTGTTTCTAGCTCATATTGTAAAACTTTGTTTCTTAGGTTTTTCCTTTTGGCCTTCTCCTTTCCTACAGGATGTTATGTACTCCTTTGACTTTAAATACCATCCGTATATTGATGGTGTATAGTCCATAGCTAATCTATATCTCTATGTAACAGTCTTCTCTTTGAGCTTCATTTTCATATTTCTTACTGGAAATATGGGTCATCTTGTGGTATTACTCCACAGTTACTTCAAACTTAAGATGTCTGAAAAGAAAATGAACTGCCTTACCTTTTTCCCTCCACCCTTGCCCGTGATCCTACTTCTTTTCCTGGATTCTTAGTAGATCTCATCAACATCTGCTCAGTTTTCTGTAAGCAAAGCAAAACAAAACAAAACACGCCACAAAACAGAAAATTGGCCCCATCCCCCAACTCTTGCCATGCTTTCATTCTTTCTTCCCACTTTCATATAACACATGCATGCAAACATAAATACACAGTTACTTGCCAAATTCTGTAGCTCCTGTCTCAGAAATGTCTTTTGAATTCATCTCTTCCATTTCATCCTAACCTTTGCTCATTATCTCACCTCAAGATTGGTACTACAGCTTCTCACCCAACGGACTATACCAGTCTGTTCCTACTTTATTTTTACTTTAGTCCACCTTCCTCATTGTTACTAAATCTGTCTTTTTCCTCAAACAAATCTGTGGTTGTTACTCAGCTGTGCAAAACTTCTGTTAACTTCTGGAAGCTCACAAGTTGAAGCCCACCTTGATTAATGTATAAAAGGAGGCACATCATGTCACTTCTGCCCATGGTCCTCAACTCCCTTTGTATATCCGGATCTGTGTTCACACTGAACTATTTTCACTGTTCTTTTTTTTTTTTTTTTTGAAGATTTTATTTATTTATTTATTTGACAGAGAGCGGGAGAGAGACAGCGAGAGAGGGAACACAAGCAGGGGGAGTGGGAGAGAGAGAAGCAGGCTTCCGGCCGAGCAGGGAGCCCGATGCAGGGCTCAATCCCAGGACCCCGGGATCATGACCTGAGCCGAAGGCAGACACCTAACGACTGAGCCACCCAGGCGCCCCTATTTTCACTGTTCTTAAAGATGGTTGTGCTTCCTCATGTCTCTTTGCCTCTTTGCTCATCAGTTTCTTCTGTGCCCAGAATATCTGTGCTTCCTGTCCCTTCCTCATAATCTGTTACTCAAGACTAAGCTCAAATGTTGTCTTTCTGCAGAGCTTTCTCTGGTGCACCCATTCCTCTGCTCCACAGAAGGAGCACCACTTCTGTGCTCCTCAAATATTTTATTCAAACTTATTGAAAGTATAACCGTTTTGTTGCAATTAAATAGTTACATGTCTCCTTTCCTTTCCAAGATTTTAAATTTCTAGATAGGTAAGCATCCTACCTCATTGTTTACAACTCTGTGCC